CCAGTCCTTCATAATACATATATTAATAATAGAATGTATATATAAATAATATATTCTGCAAATCTAATACACATCAGACAAAATTTATGTTCCATGGAGGGTTGAACTTATAAATTTCTTATTTATGGTATTAAAATAAAGAATATATTATCAAATAAAGAATAAGTAAGACTGCCTTCATTAACAGTGCAAATCTATGAGGCAGAGTGTAAGAAGCCTGTCTGCCTTTCTTCTATGAAATAAATTGGTAAAGGGGGTGGGATATATCACACAGAAGGAGTCAGTCTCTGAGCCCAGACAGACTCAAGGGGTTGCAGACTGAGATAAGGTTATAAAAATTTAGGATGTAAAAACACATTAGGAAGTATGTATAACATTTTCTTGCGTGCAGGGAGATGTGGTCTCATTGGGCATGGCTCGCATTAACCAGATTTGCAGGAGACTGACACACTGACCAAATGACAAACCTTGTAGTGAAATGAACTCCCAAGGAGAGTATAACATTCATTTTCTTTATTCAAAACAAATACTCCCTGGGGGATAATTCTCATGACAAACACAAAGAAGCTGCAGCTGAGTGATAGCAATAATTAGCACCCAAGACCAGAAGTGTCTGCATCTGCTGAGCCAAGTGCCCTGGTGGCCAAGCCTGAAGGCATGATGAGATATTCTCGCTCACAATGTGTTACTTCTCTAAAAATAGTCTGCCTAAGATTGCCTCACTGATCACAGAGTCATCTTTCAAACAAAGTATATCATAATGAATTGAGGAGAGCCAAATTATGTTAATTAAAACCCAACATAAACTCTCAGTATATAGAGGGATAGCGTGGCTGATTAAAATAGCATTGGGATTTCGGAAAGTGATTGTGGCTTTATTTTTCGTCTACTTCACAAGCTTGTTTCACCTTCATTCCATTTCATCCCTTTAAACCCCTGGAACTTTGAGAATTTCAAAACTGCTGGATTAAAGAGAAGCAGGAGCCTCTAGTGGTTAGTTTCAAGAATCTTTTCTAAAGTTAATTTTTCTTTGTTATAAAATAGGATAATTATAGCTCTAAATTTGTGTGAATGAGATTCTTATGTTTTTAAAGAAATGCGTGTCTGTATCAATGGTAAAATATTAACAAAATTTATTTTCCCTCCCTTACATGGTCCCCACTATCGCCTCACATTGTTTTTTGGGCTCAATTGCTATCCGGGCAACTGTAGAAAACTTGATTATGAAAAAGAAAATGGAAAAAATCAAGACCAAGTCTGACCTTTAATAATATGAAAAGGTAATGTAGTCTAACACAGGATTTAGTATTAACATTTACCTTGAACCTGAGATATAGCTTTAAAAAACTACCTTAAACAAGAGATACAGTTAAGAAAACAGTATTAATATCATTTCCTAAAGTTGCTCAGGTAACATACTATAGCATATAATGGGTTTATTGTTAACTCTGTGGAGCGGTGTTTCTGCAGGAGTTGGACATTTTTCCATATATTCCAGCGGCAGAGTTTTCTTTATCTCTAGGTATTGGTTCCTCCAGGAGCGAATGGAGTTAAATATCATTAGAACAGAAAGCAGAAAGAAGATAAGGCAGTTATCTTCATTGCTTAATTATCTATTTTGTTTATTACTTTTTGGCTACTATTTGGATATTTGTTTTGTCACTGATCCTCAGAATCCAATCTGAGGAATAATTTAGGGGTGACTGAGGATTTTTGATTCCTATGCCATTTGCAAAGCATTTTATTCAAATACTTGAGATCAAGAATGATATCCTTTGCCCCTCTCTCATCAGTGGTTAGAATTAGTCACTGAAATAGAGAGAGCACACTGTGTGTTTGCCAGTGTTCACATATTCCTAAACCTGAAATTTGAGAAAGAAAGACATTGAATTTTATGTTTTGTTATAGACTATGATAGTAGGAAGAAAGAGAGAAGAAAAAATATATGTCTGGATAAAGAAATGCTTATATAGCAAGATATTTCCAGGGGGGAAAAAAAGGTTTCATTTTCAAAGTATGACCCAAAGAGGATTTTCACATATTCTTTATGTGAGCTGTAAAATGTCAAGGGTGAAAGCAGACAAGAAAGTATGTTCCCACACTCGAGCACATTTACCATACTTCAGTTTTAGGAGCTACACTACGTTTTTAGTCTACAGAGTTTTATTTTTAGAATTTTTACGCTTTCATTTGTACAAGGACATCATGGCTAAAATCAGCAAAAATAAATCAAAACAAGAGCAAAATTAAAAGAAAGAGATATTACTAACTAAGTTCCAAAAAGAACTCTCAAACAAGCCCTACAACATGGTGATTAACACTTACTTTACACTCTAAAGTTAGGATTCTTCAGAGGATGCTTCATAGCTAGGATGATATATAAACAAGACTGATGTAAAGTTCACACCTATCTTCTTCTGAACATTGATTTTGCCTCCGGACGTAACATATGGTACATAACATTCTTATTAAGATTCTGCTTATATAGAGAGAAAAGTCAGCATCTCTGAAGAATCAGCCATGGTGGTGCTTGGGGAACCAACCAAGAAATTAACTAGCCAGGCTCTCTGGTAAGCCCATAAACTGCCCAGGGTTCCAGGGAGAGAAATGTCAGATAGCGCATCCTGTGAGCCTACTGGTACATGGGCTGAGAATCAAACACTATCTGTGCACCCCCACTAAGCAACCAGATGGTTTGGAGGACAGGCTAAGTTGATAAAAACTAAGGTACATAATGCAACTAAAGACGTGCATTTGTTGGGTTGATTATGCCGGCCTGAGGTCTGAGCATCTCTTGTGACGATGACCATATGGAATATAGCAAATATAGGGGATTTCCTTCTATGTTGTCTTTGAAATAAAATAGTGTTTTCATTGTTTTGCTTTGTTCTGATTGTTCTGTTTTATTCAACATTCTGTTTTGATTGGATTTATTGTGTTTTGTTTCTGGTTTGATTTTGCTATACCTGATGAAATGGACAACTATTGTGAAGTTAACAATATATATTATGGTAGTTATTGTTGTTTTCCTGGTATCCTGCTTTGAAGTTCTGTATCAATTTTGTTGCATTGTTTCAATTGACTTTCTTCTGTCTTGTTTTATTGGATTTTACTTTTTTTTTTTTTTTTTTGACACCAGGAATCTAACTCATGACTTCACTTTTGACAATTAGGCATTTATGCCGCTGAGTTAAACTTCTGGCCCCTTGGATTTTATTATCTTTAAAATACAGCTTAAAAAAGATAAAGATTATGTTTATAAAACTAAGAACATAAAGGCATATTATTTATTAAAATATGAATTCTTAGAGGAAGCTTTGAAAATAAAATTGATTTCCAAGTACAGGAACATTTTGACTTTAAACTAAAAAAGCAAGTTAGCATAAATTGTTAATTGACTCTTATCAAGTACAGTACAGAATACTTTTATGTATATAAGAAGTGGAAAGAGGTTTAAGAAGTTAATTAATATTTCAACAGCTCCTGATTTAGAGTGCTAATAGTTTTCACTTGTTTTGGATTTTATGTTTGGGTTGTCTTTGTTTTGCACTAGGAAAAACTTTGGAGTAATTGCATCATGGAATGTAATTATTTAAAATTCTTGTTTTATATTTTCTGAACACTTAATAAGTTTTACTACTTAAAACTTTGTTTGGAACTTATTATACTTCTACAGAAAATACAGCTTCTAAAAATTATTTTTACCTTATATATTTAAGATAAGTTCTACTTCAAAATCTCTAAAAGAGAAAGATTTAATAGTAACTTCTGCTTTATTTCAGTTTAAAGATTTTCTGAACACATGCTTAATATCATCTCCAATAAAATCTATAAAATTTTCATGTATGGAGTCCACCAAAAAAATGTATACCAAATTCAGGAAAGAAAAATAAATGTTTTCTCAACAAATGTTTTTATCTCATATAGGGGACCCTGAAGGATGCTGTAAAAGGCAGAAAACCCAAAAACGTATACACAGTTCAGGATAAGAAAAATAGTACAATATTCTTTCAAAAGACGCTGTTACTCTTACATGGGACATCCTAGAGGATGTTGTATTAAAGAGAAACCCCACTCCACTGCCTGCCCTTAGAGAAAAAATTGAAACTGCATTGCAGCAATCTCTCTGCTGAAGGTGACCCAAGCAGCAGTTTACTGTACTAATTACTGTCTGGAAGCTAGTGGCTACTGCTTTGAGTATCTCCTATAATTGTAGAGGCCAAGATAACTTGTATTAATCTCTTGATGTCTCAATAAATTTAGCATTAAAATATATACACAAGTTTTTCTTTTCCTAAGATGTGTATATATTTATTTTGGAGAACTCTGTATTTGAACACAACAAGAAAAATATTCTAGATCCAAGAAGACAACTCTAAATTTTTAGTTTCTATATTATATTGAAAGCTAAATAAAGCATCACTCTCCCTCTGTTGTCAAAAAATAGCATGTGACCTACTGTTAAATAAACAAGAGGCTATTGGTCTGTCACTGTCTCCACACTGATTTTCTAGATAAACACACACACACACACACACACACACACACACAAAATCTAATTAAGAAACAAACTGAAACTAAATATATGTATGTATATGTGTGTATGTGTATATATATATATATGTATATATATATATATAAACATATCTATAAATATAGATATAGAGAGATAGAGAAGACAGAGACAGAGAGATAGATTAAGCAGTCAAGTTTCAGCCAGTCGTAGTAGACAATCAGAGGTAGCTATGATCAGGCTATGTCTAAATGAGGCAGATATCTCTTGTATGGCCAAATACAGTAGATGCCCAGCTGCAGTCAAGTAGAAACATGATCTGCATTGACTGTATTTACTCTTGACCTATAAAATTTTGCTTTTCACAACAGTAGGTGGAGTTCTCCGAAACACTTCTTGTGCTGCGTGGTTTAAGAGTCATTCTTACTTGACTAAATGTTTATATTTTATTTGAAGTTTTTCATTTTATACTACAAAACTTCTCACTCTTAAAATCAAATAGGTTTAGTCACAGGAATTCAGTGTAACATGTAGGGAAAAATAAATACTTATAGCAGGTATTAAACAAGAATGTTTTTGAAACAGTATATGATAGAAAAACAAAAGTAGACAAAAAAGCTACAATTGTTTTCTGAAGGTCAGTTGGAGGTTAAAAGAGAAATAAGACACTGATAGTTGTAAACAGAATTTTTCAACCGAGTTTCTTCTTCTTTGGCCTCAATAGGTGCTCATAAATTGTACAGAGAGCAGGTCATCACACCAGACAGCTTCCTGGAATGATCATGGCAGCTGGACACAAGTTGCCACAGTGCTTCAGAAGAGGTTCGTGACTCTACCACAGCTTTTCCCCAGGAGTGAAAATCTGTGCCTCAGAGGAAAGAGCAGCAGACATTCAGGGTAAATCAAACCACCACTGAGGGACTGCACCTGTCTTAGGCCCAGACAAAATAAACAGAAACCTTACATCACTGAGAAAAATTCTTTAGAAGATAGACGATCTTTTTGATAGAAGATTTGTTGAGGATTAAAGGAAGAATAGAAGATAGGTAGATAGATAGATAGATGATAGACAGATAATAGAAATACAGTCTCCTAACTTTCTTAGTGTTAAGCCTGAAGGGTATGTCAATCTAAAAACAATTTGAGGGACATTAAGTGTAAAAACAACTAGGAGTTTATTTGAACCACTCTGAGATGACCACCAGAAATAACAAAGCTACCGAGAATCAAGTACCCATCAAAGAAGGTCTGAGTTTTGTAAATAAAAAGAACAAAGTAGAAGATCACTGAAAACTTGTTCAACCTGCATTGGTTGACAAGAATACCGTCAGAGGCGGATTGGTGGTCAGTGGCTTATGCTAGGCCTTCCAGGTGAAAAGGACAATGGAGAATGAAGACACTTTCTGAGGTTGCTATTTCATGGTGCTAGGGAATCTGCACAATAATGAAACACTGGGACAGATCTACCCAGGGAATTTTAATCGCATGCTTTGTTTACCCTTGGCTACAGAACTTTTTATTTCAAATGTGCATTGCCTGAATATGTGTGTGTGCGACATTTAAAGTCCTTTATCAAGTAAACTGTGCTGTTTTGAAGTAGAATTGATCAAATTTTCTATGATTTATGCATTTTGTGTCTCTGTAAAACATCTTATTCTATAGCAAAGTCAGAATGATATTCTTCTAGAATGTATACAACTTTATCACATTTAGAAATAATAGTAATTTTGTTCTGACAGTAGTGAGCATAAGGCCATCACCTTTATGCTAAGTTACAACCCCTGGTCCCCACCCTCCATTTCAAATTTTAAAATTTTGAGACATGATCTCCTTAAGTCACAACATTGCACAACCCAAGCTAAAACTCAAATTCTCTTGTCTCAGCTTCTTAGAGAGAGATGAGACTCTAGGCCGGAGAGTAAATTTTAAATGTGGGATGAGGTAAGGATCAAAGTTCATTCTTTTCCCAAAGAGCTATTCAGATGTTTCATTACTATTTGACTGAAAAAATCATATTTACCTCAGTAACTCATCTTTATAACTTTGTCAAATAACAGTTATATATATATATATCATCACATTGTCTGTTTTCACTATAACGATATTGACATCTTAATTTATGTAGAATTATACTATTTTAATATCATGTAGCTCAAATATTCTAGCTTTCCTTTAAGCTTTTTTTGATTATACCTTATAAGCTTTATTTGTATAAAAACAACAACATGGCAAGTCATGCTGTGGTACACCCATATCCTAAGAAATCTGAGAGGCTGCTTAGTAACATGGAGAAACGCTACTTAAAATAACACACACACACACACACACACACACACACACACACACACAGACATAGACTGGCAATGTAACTCATTGTGAAGGTCTGATTTCAGTACCTAGTAACAGTGAACAGAAAAAAAAAAAAAAGCAACTTAATATTAGCTTTACCTTTCCATAGAAATACATATTTTGATTGACATTACCTTGATTCTATAAGACAATTTGAATAATGCTGAAAATAATGAACTTTAGGACTCTCACACAATTAATTTCCTCACTTATTTAGTTTGCTAAAGAACTTCTTGCAGAAATTTTGATAAATTTAGTACAAGAAACTTAAAATAGAATACCCATATCATACAAGTTACTCGTTCAATTGAACAATTCATTAGTTTTTAGTACTTCCACAGTGTAACTATCACAACCCATTTGAAAATATTTTAATCATCCCCAAAAAAGAAATTTTGCATCTTTACCATTTAGTAACCAATAAATCATGCTACCATGGTTCTAAAAGACTGTGAATCTATTTTTGTCTCTACTAATATATCTAGATATGTCATATGATAGATGATCTGTTTTAGCTGGCATTTTTCAATACCTTAACATTCTCTACCCTTACCCATGATGTAGTATGTTCTAATACATCATTCTTTTATTGCCAAATAGTATCATTCTTTTATTGTGTCCTCATCAGTTGTAGACAGTTGGTTGATTTCCTCTTTTGTCTATTAAGAATGCTTCTGCAAAAAAATCACATGCAAATGTTTATGTCTTTTTATGATAAAACTTCACTTAACATTTTAAGGAACATCCCTGCTAGTTCCCAAAGTTCATGAAACATTTTATATTCCCATTAGTAATATTTAAGAATTCTAACTCTTACTTCCAATTGACAGTATGTTGACACTATATGTACTGTGTCAGAGATTTAAGGATATATTTTCTCTGCAGAAATGGGTTATTCTAGTAATTCAGGCACTTGTTTTGTTAAACACAGAGCATATGAGGAGCGTCCCCTGTGATTACTCCTCTGGGTTTGTCACTTGTGTGTTTCTGAAAATTTTTCTGAGTTACCTTTGCTGAAGTCCTTTTGCAGATGTTTTGTCCACAAAAGTAGCCATTGTACTTGTGACTAGATCACCAGTTAGGAATTTTGTCCAACTTACTTTTAAAATAATTTATCTGCCAAGGCTGAAGTGGAATCAGGTCATGGCTGAAGTAAGATGTAATTTCCCTCAACTGGATACTCATCTAGCTTTCTTGGGCTGCCGAGCTGCATTTCCAAGATGGGAAGTGTCTGAGTCTCTCATTTCCGTTGTGTTGGTTAAGGGGGTGCCTGGTTTGGCTACTGGCAAGCATGTCTCTGCCCCTCACTTCCTTTTGCTCCTTTTTAGATCCCAGTGCACTGGGACAGTTTGTTTCAGTGTCCTCCCTGACTGTCCAATCACTGTTTTCTACTCCAACATGAGTGAAGCCAAACATGCAGCATGATGCCCTGCCCCAGTCCCACCACTTTGGATGACACTTGTCCTAAAAACAAAAAGAAAAGAAAGGCACCCTGAGTGTCTAAGAAAGAGAAGAGAGGGATTTCTCAAGTAGTTAGGGTTCCCAAAGTCCCAAAGTCCTTTAAATCATTTGGGATTTTTTATCCTTTGTACTGTGGACATTGCAGTTGTTTCCAGAGACAGACACTCAAAGCTGTAAACACTGAAAAGCTCCAGAGACCAACAGCCAATGAAGGGCAGCAGCAAGGACAGCACAGGGTAGCGTGAAACCAGGCTGTCCAACACAAACCAGCATCAGATACTGCCGGCCGCCAGCAGCAGTTACCAGGAGCTGGCTGTGACAACTGTGGGCAATTATCATTGCATGGTGTCACCCGGTGACATCAGGACTGCTAATGGAGCTGCACCTTGCCCATTCACAAACTGTATCTGAATCAAACCGAAGAACTGTAGGGTGATTTGGCAACAGCACTTCTCAAAAAAGAGAAAGCAGACAAGAACAACAACAAAGAAAAACAAGCCAGATATAGAAATAGAATGAAAAACAGATAAAAACAAGCACAACACCAATAACAACAGAAAGAAAAGGAGCAAAAATATGTAGACTAAGATTTTTAAAATTAATAGAAAAATTTCAGGCAGAAAGTTTAAAATGGTATGAGAAGACGAAAAACTAGTAAAATAGAAAAAAATTAAAAGGAAAAAATGCGAGCAGAGAAAAAGGTGAGCAAAAGAAAAGCTCCACTTTAAGACAAAATGGTAAAAGTAAAAAACATAATGAAAATGCAAGTAACTCCTTCTATTTAAGGAAAGTGGATTAGAGGCACTTCGTTCTACATTGTCTAATAATAATTTTGGGGAGGTGTGGTCCCCTTATAATCTCCCCCTCCATGATTGTGGTTAAATCAGCTGATTAGAGACAGACACTCACTCACCCGCCACAAAACTATCTCTCCTGACCATTTTCACCTAGTCACTGGCAGGATTGCCTTGTGATTGTGCTCGGTTTCTAATTTTCAGAGTACTTTTTTTTTTCTCTCTCTGACAATAGGATGATTCTCAAGATAGCTTCCAGTTATACCACCCAGTGCTTGCTGAGCAATGCAATAGATTTCTTCTCTAAAAGCAGCTTATTATACAGGAAGAATCACTTTCAGACCAAATCCTCATATACATTTAAACCTTTTAAAACCATAGGTTGCTCCTACAGCTTGAGTAGTGGTCCGCTGTTATCAGCAGAGTTTGCTGCTCCCTCCAACCTTCTATAATTTAGTGGTTTATTCCAATGCACCCCCTCTTTCCAGCCCCAAGTCAGGGAGCCATGGTAGGGTTGCTGATTGCTTTCTACTTTTTTTTTTTTTTAAGTTCTTTTTTTGCTTCTCTGTGACTTTTGGTTTCCCTGTTACACCCTGTTTCTTGATTCATGAAGCTCTACCTCTTTCTCTTATAGGAATATAGTTTTTCCTTTATGCCATGACTCCTTACTCTATCATCTTACCTGTGACCTGAAACTAACTAAAGTTAAAGCATGCAGGACAGGAACATATTCCTAGGCAGTCTTGCTACCACACTACTTTATTACTCTTTTAAAGCATAACACTAAACAGTTATTTTTTCCCCAACCAAGTTTAGTTGGTGATAGGAAAGAGGAAAAGAAGCAGAGGTCTCAACTGGACAGGTTTATTTCAGAACAAACCTAAGTAGGAGCTCTCTCACACTAGAGACCAGATCAGCTGCTCTCAGTATAGGCTATGGGGACTTTTGTAGGTCACTGAAGGGATTCAGTGAAAGAGGATTGTAACTATCTGCCAAGAACAAGGCTTCAGAAAGCACAGAGATAATGCTTGCCCAAGGAGAAAGCTTGGGGAAGTGTAGGAGTAGCGCCTGTTATCAATAGCCGGGCTGAAAGTTTTGAGTCCCCAGGTCAGCTGTGCTAGGAGGGGCGGTTTAAAGAATGGTTCCTACACATTATGCATTATGCATTATGCATCCCTTTATATGATATTCAATATTTGATATTACTAAGTTCAAATATGATATTACTAAGTTCAATATTTGATATTAATAAGTTCAAATAGTATAACATTTTTGTTCCATTAAAGTTTTAAATTTTAGACATCTAAAGTTTTTAGATTTTAAAAATCAAGTATAAATTTATTTTTCATAGTTATATATAAATTTGATAAGTTGAAAAACATAATTTTATAACAATAAAAAGGGTAAGAGTAACTACTCACCTCTAGGTCTTCCAAAACTTGGTTGTGTAAAATTATAATTGTGCAGATAGCACAGTTGGGTTGAGGGACATTCCACCTCAATCCACTTCAGTTTGAGGGAAACCCTAGGGCCAATCTTGTTTCTCCTCTCCTAAGAGATGCAGTAATAAGAGTAACAAAACCCCAAGAAATCTCTAAAACTCCAGGCCAGTGCACATGCATGTTACCCTCCCCTTACACACACTGACATGTGTCGTGCATGTGATCAAAACAGATAAAACAGTGACTTGTGATAGAGTCATGCATATCGGTGTCCCTCTGAAGGCTCAGAGGCCTGCAATCATTTCTGTCAATTCCAGAGAGATACAATGACTCACTGGGCATTCAGAGTTTTGAAATCTAAGTCTGATTTCCCTCTCCTGTCTCCATTCCCTTGCTGTCTGGGCACTATTTTCCCCCTAATTTGTGCCACCATTTTGTTACCTTTTAGCTGCTGACATCCCCTGAGCACACCTTCCCTCTTACCTTCAATAAATGTATCCTTTTTTTATCTTTTATCACTTAGTGTATACTAACAGTTCTTTGCTCTACATACACAAAAATATGGAATCTATCTCTTGAATCCATCATTCACTGTATCTCTACTCCTAAAAACTTAAATGTGCTCTATTTATAAATCTATCCAGATGCACACTACTCTGAAAAATTCTTACCAAAGTATCTACAATTATATTTGCCAACTGCTAATTAAAATTTTGATAGTGATATTTAAAGTGATGTTATTAATTCTTTGTATTTTTGTACCATGGATTTGTATTTATTTGTAATATGAACATGTAGCATTTTTATTCAAATTCTGTCATTATGAATTCAAAATGATTCAAAATCCTATATGAAGATCAATTTTCTGTAATAAAAATGCAATGTCTTCATTCAAAATCCATAATTAGAAAGATCTAATAAAATTAGCAGCTAAAATGTTAAACAGTTACTTACAAGTTGGCTAATTTTGGTGCCTTTGTTCCAGGCAGAGCTCAGGCTCTTTCCTGAATGTGTTTGCAGGCAGTTGTTTGTCAGGGTGGGGGGTACAGTTAACAGCTTAATCCCATCTTATTCTTTCCTGCATCTATGAAGAGCTGGAAATGAGCTTTTAAGTATTCTAAATTTAGAGAAAATATTTTATCTGAAGTATTAGAAAATTCCACCATTAGAGCATTATATTCTGACATACACACAAATATGCACACATATACATGCAGAATTAGATGAAAGGGTTGTGTTAGATTAGAATCAAGGGTTGTGAGGAGAACAATTAGAATCAGGACACAGAATTTATAATGTTATTTTATGATGGTCACCAATAGTAAAGCCCAAGAAAGTCCAGGAAATCTGTCCACAACACTAAAGATCCAGAATATTCCACCAAGGGCCTGGATTCCACAGCAATGTCCTGCATGAGTCCAGATAAAAAACCTACAGCCCATGACAGTGCCTCCCATGAGTCCAACTGGAGGTCTAGAGCCCACGAGAAGGCCTCACAACAGTCTATTCTGTGGATCTGCACTGAGAAGGCCCAAAGGTCAGTGGTGGAAGCTAGAAAATCTATGCAGCAGAGTGAAGGAGCTGTGCTGGCGGGTTGAGAGTTCTACACTGGAGCCGAGAAGTCACGCTCATAATAAAGACCAAGGCTGCCCTGAAAAGTACCACAGCCATCCTCAGTGACTCAGAGTTCCTGAGCTCCTGCGATGATAAGAACAGTCAAGTACATGCCAGGAAGCCAGCCCGAGGAGATTGTCCTGGAGATTAAGTGGCACAGGTTTTCCCCTTTGGAGCTGGGAAGCAATGCTTGATGTAAAGTACAGAGCTCCCCCAAAGTGAACCACAGCCATTCTCACCAACAAGATCCTGAGCTACTCTGATGACAATGGTGGAACTCACACAAGGGAAGCTAGTCATGATGAGCTCCTCCAGGAGAACCAAAGCCTCAACAGCAACACTTAGAGAAACCCACGACGCCACACTCTTCTTCTCCACATCTCCTTTTATGCTGGCAACTTTCCTCAGGTGGAACATCTATGCTCAGCACCATGCTGATTTAATTCAGCTGGTGTTGTTGACCACCAGTTTTTAATCAATGAAAGATTGTATAACTTTGAATAAGAACTAATCTAGAGTTCCTCGTAGGGACATATGCTAACACCAGTGTTTGATATTTGATTGTACAATAAATACACCAAACATGCAATATTTCATTTTGTTCATGTCTGAAACAGTAATTCTTAATTATAAGCTATTTAAATTATTTAATAGATATTTTGTTATAGAGTATATATTAGCCTTGTTACATTATATCTAAATAAAATATTTCACTAAATTTCTTGATTCTGTATAGGTAAAATTAATAACAATATCTAATATTGTTATATTTTCTTTGTAACACATTATAGTTTCAAATGAAGAGATTCGTTGCCTTGGAAAATCTAATTTTAGGGAGCAGAAACTTGTTGAAAAAAGACAAATAAATAAAATAAAGATAATAAAACACAAATTTTCAAGGTTTTGATTTCAGCTCACACTTAAAAATACTTTTTTCTATTAGTATGCACCAGTGTTTTTCTAAGGTACAAAATGGAATGCTGACCTAATTTATTTACATTCTTTATATATTTTCAAATGTTAAATGTCATTTTTTTCTTTCTTTTATACAGTTAAGGATCAGTTTCAGCACACTTTATTTTTGGAAAATAATGTATGTTGAACACAAAAATAATTTTTTTCTTAGAATTGTTTAATATATTCTTTAAAGTTACCCAGTTTCCACAAACAGCTCTTTAAATTTTTCCAGTCAGTCATTTATACTCAGTGGGAACCTCTGATACAAAAGAAAAAAAAATCCCTCTAGACAACCATTTTCAGTTGTATTTCAGTTATATCTAATGTTATTTGTTGAGAATTATTCATTCAGTAATTCAGACTTAGAGACCTCATGAGAAAATTTGGGCTGTAAGTGGTCCCAATCTATACCTCAACAGTTTAGTAAATATGCTAGAAACAGACACACTAAGAATTATCTTCACATATCAATGTTTCTTCTTAGCAGCACCCACAACATACACCAGGGCACTGATGTTAACTGCCAATTTCCTCATTAACAGTGAGATGTTCAATGCCAAGGTTAAATACATTCACTAGAGTCTGCCTGGGCTTTTGTTGCTGTTACATTTATACATTTTTCATGATCGTTTACTAATACTCACAAGGACACATAAGCCCACCGTACTTCTACCTCTGCTCTACACTCTTAATGCATTGTCACAGCAGTCCCCTGAGTTCCTTTCTACTTACAACATGCTCACCACCTTCTCAGAAAGGGTTATTTTGAGTCTTCACTTATTTCTTTTTTCTATAATAATCTTAATTATAATTAAAATATAATATCAATTCTCTAAGTTCCAGTATTAATGAAATTTCTCGTATGTTTTGCTTTCTTATTCATACCATACACCATTTTTTCACTCAAAAAACACCAATAAATTGTATCAAAGCTGCAGGCTTTTTCAAGTGCCAATTTGCCATAGAGGCATATGATTATAGATATCTCATTTCTGCCATCTTAGCTCAAATTACTTTTAAATTTTCATAATCTATATCTCTACGCAATTTCATCAACATGCTGGTCAATCATGCTTTTTGGAATGAACTAGAAGTGCTAAAATAAATTAAAGTGAAAGTGTAAACTTAAAAAAAAAACTCCACAGTAAAACGTGTATGCCATTACCTGCCTCAAAACACTTCCTTATCCTCCAACACACTAACCTCACCATTCTCACCACTTTATAAAGCAATTCTGAAAGTCCACTTTTTGTGAGGTCATAGCTGCCTGGAAATCTTGAATCAGTTCAAAATGTTTACCTTTCACAGTCATTTTGACTGTGGGGAAAAGCTTGAATTCATATAGTACTTGACTGGATAAAAAAGATAGATGAGGTCACGCTCTAATGTTTTATAAGCCTACCTTCTGTTTGCATGGCACCTGGTCTCAACACACACACCACAGCTACTTCAGAAAGTAGCAAGAATAATGGTTTTAGTGTATTAGAAGTAAACAGAAGAATTTTTAGGTGGATTAATATCTTTTACTGTAGTTTTTAAAATGTAAACACATTGTAATTTAGATCAACATATTGACTGAGTCATCCTGGCTTTAATCCATGCAAGTATAACGCAACTAAGGAGCAAAAAATATTAATATAAACAAGAGATAAAAATATTTATTATTATTTACTAGTTATATGCAATTTTAATTAAATATATATGTATATATATATATATATATATATATATATATATAATTAAATTTTATGCTTTGGTCTTGCTTTACGGAAAGTAGGGTTAAGAGACCTACTGGATAAATTCATAAATTTTAAAACAAGATATATCAAACTCAAATCTCTGCTCTGGCACATAAATGTGAGACTTGATCTAAGTCATCTGTGTTTCTATCACTGCTTGTATTAGATTGAAGTGTGTTCTCCTATAATCATGTTAAAGTCATAAATCTTAGTGCTTCAAAATATAACTGTTGTGAAGATGAGTACTTTAAAAAATAATTAAGTTAAAATAAGAGAGTAAGGGTGGGCCCTAATAAAAATAACTGCTGTTCTTTTAAGTAGAGATTAGGAGACAGAAAAGGATACCAGGTACTTGTACACACAAATAGACAAGCATGTCTGAACACTGGAGAAAGCAATCGTTTGTAAGCTGGAGAAAGGCCTCAGGAGAAATCATAACTACTGACACCTTCTTCCCAGACGTTCAGGCTGCAGATACCTGAGAAAATAAATTCCTATAAACACCTATCCAGAATGTGGTATTTTGTTTTGGCTGTCATAGCAAATTAAGCGTTTGGTTTTCCTCAAAATTCTTATAATGAATATTAAATATAGGGTTTTGGGGGGCTGGGTGTATAGGTCAATAGCACAGTGTCTGGCTGGCAAACATGAAGTCCTGAGTTCAATTTCTGGCACCAAAACCAAACAACAACAACAACAAAAGCAAAACAAAACAAAAATGTAGACTTCTTTAAAGCATGTATATAAGAATTAATCATAGATAACGTGTGTGCAATATTTAGTTCACTGCCTTCCATATTGTGCACACTAAACAATAGTAGCAGCAATAACACTATAAATTAGTTAATATTATATGCATTCCACACTTAAATCTAGCATTCTATTATCACAATATTTTAGCTGCAAAAATTAGTACAGTAAAAAATTGTGTGCACACACACACACACCCATACACACACACACATACATACACACACAGAATATGAGCATTTGTGCATACCAAGTTAGGGATAAAAGGATGGAGCTTCAAACAGTTTTTAGTTTCTGTATTTCCTGTTGAATCACAACTTGTTAATGTCCCAAAGGCATATATAGAGAGCTGAGAGCTGAAAAAAGTTTTGAAAAACCTGACAGGCAAGGACACTGAAAGAGTTTGAAGATTTACAGGTTTACAAAACACAGTCTATTGGTCTAGTGGGAACAGTTGCCAGAGAAAAGTGATGAGAGAGGTTGGAATCCATCAGGGAGGGTGTGAGCGCTGAGGATTAGAAGGCTGGTGTGGTAGTCAGTAGGCAGTGAAGGGATTCGCTACTTTATGGAACTGAAAACTTTGAAAATTGGAGTAAGACATACTTTGCTCATTTTTTGTTTAGAGTTTAAAATGCTGGCTTTGCGAAGTCTTCAAGCACACAGAATATTTTAAAAGTGAGATACAAGCATAGACATACTTATTGCTAGTAGCAAATATTAGTTCTTTTTTATGTTGAATAACTAAACTGATCTCTTGTCTTAGCTTTTAGGTAGGGAAGATTTACTTTGATTTGTTAAGAAAAACAATAAGGATTGAATGTTTTAAACTGGTATCAATTATCTTTTGTTACATAAAATAAATCCTCTCAATATTTTTTCATGTTTTAATATTTAAATATTAATCAATAGTTTAAATGTCTATTCTTTCAAAATTTAAAGTAACTAATCTCATTAACATAACATGTGAACAGATGCGTGGATACAGAAAATATATGTATGCTCAGTGAAGTGCTACTTGGCATAAAGAA